TCAGTTCTTTGTTATAGTTCAGAGCTATGGGCTCTGAGTGCAGACGCGAAGCGCAAAATCCAGGTTGTTGAAATGGACTACCTTAGAAGAAGTACAGGTATATCTAGGATGGAAAAAAAGACAAACATCGAGGTCAGGCGTATCATGAATGCATCGGAGGAGACAGTACTGGATCGAATCGAAAAATCCAGCTTAAAATGGTTTGGACATGTTCCGCGTATGCCGGAGAACAGGTGGCCAAAAAGAGTTTTTCAATGGGCTCCCCAGGGCAGAAGAAAGAGAGGTAGACCTAGAAAATCCTGGAACGGAACGGTTGCGGAAGCAATGGAAGCTCGTAACCTAGAAGCTGATGACGCTCTAAATCGAGATGTGTGGCGTAGGGTAACGGGAAGGCAGCAATAGGCTGTAGTTGGAAATGAGTATTAAATACTTAAACCAAATCCTGTTTATATATATATATATATATATATATATATATATATATATATATATATATATATATATATATATATATATATATATATATATATATATATATATATATATATATAAAAAGAGTGTTGTGCCATGATTTGCACTTTCGGCAGGGACCCATTTTACATTTTTTAGCAGGGTGATTATCTCGCAAACAATTAAAACATAGTTTTTTCTTTTTAATGAATTCGGTCTTTTTATCTAGCTGTAAATTTAAAAATTGATCGCAAGAATATATGGCATGATCTTGGTTGCAATAATAGCAGGCAAAACCTGAGGCTAGAAGTGCTCTAGTATTTTGTTTATCTCGAAACCTTGATTTGTCCTGCTTGTTTGGTACACCCTGCTTATCACTGTTCTTATACTCTATTGCAGGGGCGGCTCGTAGCACTGGAAGATGGTGAGGCACATTAGAAGAGAATTTTTATTAGTATGTATATAGGGTGGCCATTAGTACGAGGAAGTTCTATATAAAAAAAAGTACATATCCTAAAAAAATATTTTCTTTAAAATTGCAATCGCATTACTATTTTTCTGTACAGAATTGGGTTCAGCATAAAATTCAGCATACATCACACTATTGATTTATTTGAAGCACTATATATGCGGGATTTCCATGATAATTCATATTTGAAAAATTTCATCTTTTAAAAAGTGGTAAAAACCTGGAGTGAATTTAACTTATTGATATATTATTGCTTAAGTACGTATAATATAGCGAGGTATGTAGGATAAAAGAAGAAATCCGAGAAAAATTCACATTCACAGGAATTTTTTTATGGCGCGGCCAACATTGCAATATTATAATGCTATACTCGGTTTTTTGAAATGCAATACACATTGTATATTATTTTTAGTATTTTAGATACCCTACAGACTTAAAAAGCGCACATTTTTGTATTTAAAATATTTTTAAATTTTTAGCAGTTTATGTAAGCAGCTTATGTAATATAATTCGCAGTATTATACCTATTACATAGGGCTATTGCAACAGTAAATTTTTATCAAAGCGACCTCAGGATATTTTCTCTTATATTTTACTCTGTATGGTAAAATTTTGTTTTTCTACCCATCCTATAAAAATAAAACAAAACGAAATCTGTAACAGGTCGCTTTACTTTTTGACTATACACAATTTATCTAGAAATGATTCGAAAAACTTTACCTGGGAAAATCCTCTGATGATGTATGGCCCATCTAAATCATCATATCAATCAACAATAAGTCACTGCCCACTCTTTTTAGGTATTTACTTAATATGTACAATAATCAGTAAAAAGAGTAAACATGCAATTCACATTAAAAAACGTAGATATTAATCAATTAGAGACAAAACCGTGTAATAACCGACAGAATTAATTCAAACTCTGATTCAAACTAAGCCAAATTCCCAAATGCAATTCTGCATTTTCAGTCTGTCGCCTAAAATCTCTGGGGCTGATCGGGAAGTGATACATATTTTTAACGAACGGCTTTTAAGGTTCAAATTTACATTTGAGGCTCGCCTCAATACGGTCTTTTTACGCGCTACTACTCCATACATTTTATCTCTCTTCAACTAAAGGTTTTGCCTATGCTTTTTCTTTTCATTCTATAGAGTTAAGATTCCAGTGAACGCTGTCGCTCCGTCAGTGCGATATACCACAATACGCTAGACAAGGAAAGGCGAGAGGCAAACCTCTACACATATACTTCTTAAAGAACAAATGAGATGGATATACATCGTCGAGTTTGTCGCATATGGGAAAGGAAGCGCGTTTAAAGGAATACCATCGACGTAATTTATTGTAGAATGACGGTCAAAAAATACAATTATTATTGATGCAAATAGGGAAAAAATATAAAATTGTGATTAAAGATGTATCGATTAATACGTGTAATTTTTCAAATGTATTGGAGAGCCTGCCTCACTGCCTCATCTGCCTCATAGGACAAGCCGCCCCTGCTCTATTGTTTCAAAAAAGTCAGCACGCTGTTTTAAAAATTTACTAAAATCGACTAAAGTAGGCACATCGATATCAGCTGATTGTCTTTCCCAATCATTGCGCGTCTTAAAATCTAACTTAGAATTTAATAAATATATAAGCAGTGTGTCCCAGTTGGACGTATCATGGTTTAATTGCTGTAAAGACCGCAAGTGCTTATTTAACCCGTCTATCAAACCTCGAATTTTAACTGAGGATTCCCTTTGGACCTCTAAAGAAAAAATTGACATGACGTGGTTATGAATTAGCAATTTTTTATTGTCAAAGCGATCACAAAGTACTTGCCAGGCTACTCGATAGCCATTTTCCGAAAATTCAACTGACTTAATTACTTCGGATGCGCTGCCCTGTAGCGACGCTCTCAAATAATGAAATTTTTGGATACTTGTTAAATCATCATTTTTGTGAATTAAAGACTCGAAAGTATCACGAAATTCAAACCAACGCTCGTAGGAACCTTGAAAACTAGGTAAAGGAATATCTGGAAGCTTAACGGCAACTTTACTTGATAGATTGTTGCTAGAAATAATTGAATCTTTGTTCGAACCTTGATTAGATTTTTGATCATTCTGGTCGGCGGGCAACATATTTTTAGCGACAGCTACGATATTGTAAAAGCAGTTTTCAAAGTCTTCTCGCTCTATATATTGCTCATCTAAACCATTCTCATCAACAATCGCCTCAATTTCTCCTTGAATATCATTAAATTCTACGCTAACACTCTCAATTCGGCTCAGCCTGTCCTGCAGTTGAATTATGTCAAGATCACTCAAAGCCCCTACAGATTTCTTTAGGTTTTCGATATATTTGACGAAATTTGTAAGTACAGCTTTTAAACTGCCGCGCTTACGCACTAATACGTTTTTATCGGCCATGTTTTACTACCTGTATTCCTAATTATTACTTGCAAAATGATAAAGTTTAGCTTGATTACTTAAAATATACTAGAAATCTAAAACACCCTATATACTTTCTAGATAAAGCAATAGTATTTTAAATTTAAATTAAATTGTAATTACTTGAAAGGTACAATTTTGGCATATACCCTGTATACTCGACTTGAAAACGTTTAAATTAAACTGAAACTCTAGCAAAGTAAACTTTGATAATAACTTTGTACTGACAAGTATTGTGATACATTCTTGAGAAACTAGAAAAACCTCTGTATTTAACAAAGAAAGATGCTGGAATTTTAATATTAACTTGATTAAACTAGAATATTAAAATCTTTAATTCTTTGCAAAATGGTTACAAAGGTAAACAAAGGAAATTGGAAACGGCCCACCTGATTTGTCCTTGCTGTGCTGGTGAACTCGTTCTGTAAACTGGTAATTCCCCTTGCTTCTATGCGGCTCGTATGGACCAAATGTATTGGCTGGGTGGACTGTATATAACTCGAACTCGTTATTTAACAATATTTATTTACTAAACAAATAAACAAACAAACTTTAACTATTCTAAATTGTCTTTGATTATAACTTGGCTGCAACTGGTGGCGCACGATAATAGATTCGTAGCCCGCAGCGTGTGTACTCTCTTAAACTTGCCAGAGAACACCCCCGTAATCCTGGTTTTCGACCGCGAGAGGTAAAAATCACACATGTGTTTCTGCCCCCGTGCCCCGCTTTTCCCCTTGGTTACGCACTTAACTTACGCACTATCGCGTCGCGAAGGGTGAGAACACTGTTGTCACGCTTACGGCGATGTTGTTGTTAAAAAGAATGTATTTGAAGTATGTTGCCTGAACAGCCACAAAGCGACATAGCTTAATATTGTTGTTCCGCAGCGAAGCGACAAGGCGTCTTTCCCACGCACAAAAGGGATGGCCACAAAGCGCAATAGCATAATATTGTTGTTCCGCAGCTAAGCGACAAGGCGTCTTTCCCACGCACAAAAGGGATGGCCACAAAGCGACATAGCATAATATTGTTGTTCCGCAGCTAAGCGACAAGGCGTCTTTCCCACGCACAAAAGGGATGGCCACAAAGCGACATAGCATAATATTGTTGTTCCGCAGCTAAGCGACAAGGCGTCTTTCCCACGCACAAAAGGGTTGGCCACAAAGTGACATAGCATAATATTGTTGTTCCGCAGCTAAGCGACAAGGCGTCTTTCCCACGCACAAAAGGGATGGCCACAAAGCGACATAGCATAATATTGTTGTTAAACAATTTGGGTCATACGTAAAAATTTAAAATATTCCCAAAATAATAATACTAAACACCATTTGATAATTTGCCAGGTATTATAAATCACACCCAATAAATATTACTAAAATACTCTTTGATAAAAAGCTGTCCATTACGTATCTTTAATAAATAACACTAAAACACTCTTTGATAAACATCTGTCTTTTAACTAAACAATATTAAAATGCCCTTTGATAAATACTTGACTACTATAAAACACACACATAAAAGTAATACTAAAATATCCTTCTCTATCTACTACTAAAGCTCAGTGATAACTGTTAACTAAATAATATTAAACTACTTCTACACAAATCCCAGTAATGCCCGTGAGTGAACAAAATACACTCACCTGTATAATACTTCATTCCTTCTATTCAGTCCCAGAAATATTTTCCACACAATTATAATCTGAATTTAATATTTTTTTTGATAAATAGAGACGTCAGTCAAAATAATCATCAACAATGCAAACCGCATCGTCTAGGAAACGACAATTTTATAATTTCCATTGTGATGCCGTCAAGAAAAGTCAATTAGAGATTCAAATAAAATATTATTTGTTAAAATAACACAATTTAATATAAACTATTTTTTAACGGAAAACAAGACTCTTACAAATAAGGGTCTTCCATAGATTGAGATAAGTCGGCTTACTCGGGGACCATTCCTTGGTGACCAGGTAGAAGATGTGTCTTGCTTGACCATGTGCATTGTCGGTTAGCCTCAAGACCCTTGCAACCTCTGGATCCTGTCGGCGTAGTTCTCCGACACGCCCAAACTTCTCATTGAACGTCGCAGCGATTCCTCTGGACATCCGCAAATCTCGAGCCACACAGTGAGCAAGCGAATAATCAGGAGGCACGGAAAAGAGGTCTCGTTGTTCTTCTTTGGTTACACCATAGCGAGCCTTCTCACTGCTGTTGTATCGGGCCATGAAATCGTCAAAAGATATCTCCGAATCAGGGAGATCAAAGCTGCAGGTTCTCGCGGTCCCAGCACGATCTTCTATTTCGCCTTGGTAGGGGTTCAAACGGTTGAAATGGACTATCCTCGGTTTTCCTTTTGGCAATTTTCTGATACGGTATACGATGTCATTAATCTTATCCTTGACTTCGTATGGGCCCTCCCACGAGGATTGTAGCTTCGGAGATAATCCACGACGTCTCTGCGGGTTGTACAGCCACACCAAATTCCCTGGTTGGTATGCCCCATGCTCAGCTTGAATGTCGTAGTGCTCCTTCATTCGGTCACTAGCGCTTTGAATATTTAGGCGGACTCGCTGATGGATGTCGTCCATCTTTTAACGTAGTCTGTGGACATAATCTTCTCCAGCGACATCTTCTCCAGGTCGACACCCAAACTTCAGATAACAAGGTAGACGCACTTCCCGTCCCATAACGATGCTGGCTGGAGTTTGCCCTGTGGATTCTTGGACGGATGAGCGGTAGGCCAACAGGAACAGGTGAAGGAATTTGTCCCAGTCTCTTTGGTGGTCAGAGACTACTTTGGCCAAATAACGGTTGATGGTTCTGTTCATGCGTTCAACCATCCCATCGGATTGTGGATGTAGAGCCGTTGTCCTGGTCTTGCGGATGTTAATGACTTCACAGACGCCTTGGAACAGATTGGACTCGAAGTTTCTTCCCTGATCGGAATGAAGCTCCATGGGAACACCAAACCTGCAGATCCGTTCTTTAACAAGGGCATCAGCAATGGTGGACGCTTCTTGATTTGGCAACGCGTAGGCCTCGACCGATTTACTAAAGTAATCCATCACTACCACAATGTATTTGTTGCCATCGCTCGTCTCCGGGAAAGGACCAGCCACGTAGATCGCTATTCGTTCGAAAGGACTGCCTACATTGTACTGACGCATTTCTTACACCAGGCCTTCACGTCTTCTTTACAGTTCACCCAATAGAACCGTTCTCGCAGCTTGCCAAGTGTCTTAGTAACACCAAGATGTCCACCGCTGGTTCCATTGTGAACTAAGTTCACTGAACTTCCTCCAAGACTTCCGGGACCCTCTTCTTCGGAATGACGATCTGTCTTCTCTCTTCTTGTCCCTCTGGTCTCTCAATCACACGGCGAAGTAGCCCGTTATCTATTACCAAGGAATTCCACTGGGCCCAGTACGACTTCACGTTCGGCGAATATCTGCAAACTTCCTCCCACGTTGGTCTTTGGTCCGCGCTTTTCCAGTAAATTACTAAACCTAATTCTGGGTCACTGATTTGGTCGTTTGCAAGATCTTCTGGTTGCCAAGTATCATTAATCACAGTTGTTCTTAGGAGTTTCGCTTCTTTCTCTTCTGCTCGGGAATAATGCTTACAGTCCTTAGCGCAAGGTCTTCTGGAGAGTGCGTCGGCATTTCGATAGATTGCCCCAGCTCGATACCTGCCCTTCAGGATTCTTAAACTGCAACAGCCATTTCAAAGCAGCATGGTCTGTTCTTAACAAGAACTTTCTTCCATAGAGATACTTGTAGAAGTGTTCCACTGCTTTCACTACTGCTAGTAATTCTCGTCTGGTCACACAGTAGTTCCTTTCTGGTTTTGACAAGGTCTGAAATATCTGAAAAGACTGAAATATCCAATTACTTTTTCTTGACCATCCTGAATCTGAAACAAAACAGCGCCTAATCCAACATTACTAGCGTCGGTATCCAAGATAAAGTTTCCGTTGCCAAGAGGGTAGCTAAGTATGGGCGCACTAGTCAGGGCCTTCTTCAATCTTCGAAATGCCTCGTCATAATCTGAGTCCCAAGAGAAACGCCTCTCGGCTTCGGTAAGTCTGGTTAATGGTTTAGCGATGGTGGCGAAACCCTGCACATAGCGGCGATAGTATGTGCATAGCCCCAAAAAACTTCTGAGTTCATGTTTGTCTTTGGGTATCGGCCACTCTTCCACTGTCTTGGTCTTCTGTGGATCTACCGCAACTCACTGGGAGGAGACTACATGGCCCAAGTAGTGTACCTTTTCTTGACACAGATGACATTTCTTAAGGCTAAGTTTCAAGCCAGAGCTCGCTAGTCGCTTGAAAACTTCTTCCAAATTCTTCAGATGATCGTCCAAGGATTTCCCAACCACTATGATGTCATCCAGGTATACTAAACAGGTAGTCCAGGATAGTCCCTTTATCTCAGACTCCATTAGTCTTTCAAAGGTAGCTGGCGCGATGCACAATCCTAAAGGCATGACGGTAAATAAGGCAGCCCGGAGCCCACCGAGAACGCTGTCTTCTCTCTGTCTTTCGGCGCCATGTCGACTTGCCAATATCCACTCTTCAGATCTAACGTAGAGAATATCGTTGACCGTGTGTCTAGAGTATCGTATATCCTCGGCAGGGGATAGCTATCCTTCTTGGTAACATTATTGAGCTGCCGATAATCAACACAGAACCTGGTGGTACCGTCTTTCTTCTTTACTAGTACTACCGGCGATGTCCACGGGCTGTTAGATGGTTCGATGACATCCTCTTCTTTCATTTCTCGAAGGATTTTGTCAGCTTCTTCACGTTTGGCGAGCGGAAGTCTTCGCGGATTTTGTTTGATTGGTCGTGCATCTCCGGTATCAATTTTATGTTGTACTAAATCGGTACGACCTGCTTGTCCTGCTTCTCCTTTATCAAACACATCTTTATACGTGATTATCAGGTTTCTTAATTTTCTACTATCTTTGGGAGATAATCCCTTAACGTTTACTAACTCCTTCACCATTTTGTCCGGAATTTTTGGAGTCGAAACTTTGGAGGCTTCCACGCTTCGAATGACTGAGGAGACCGAACAACAGTACCCTAACAGGGTTCCCTTCTTCAAGGATACAGAATAATAATTTGTGTTCATTACTCTCACCGGTACAGTCTTCTTCGCTCGTAGCATGGCTTTTCCAACAGCGACCCCTCGTCCTATTTCGCTGTCATGGTTCCTTGGCTCCAACAGAATAATACTCCCATTATTCATTTTACCTTCCAGGATCGAAACATCTTTTGCTACTACCACGCGAAACGTCTCCTCACATTTTCGATGTAGAACCACTTCTTCTCTTATTTTCAAAATTCCTTGTTTGAGGTTTAGTTCAAAACCTCTAGTGGTCATGATGTCCATTCCGAGAATAAGTTCATCTTCGATGTCTGCTACTAACACTCGATGATTAAAACAGGTGCTTCCGATAACAAAATTAAGATCTACCTCTCCATGGATGAGAGCGGAGCTTCCTGTAGCTGTACGTAGTCGCCATTGTGTTGTTTTAATCCTTTTTGATGTTTTAAGGATATCCGGCCTGATGATCGTTTTGGTCGCACCCGTATCCAACAGCATGGCCCGTAACTCTCCATCCACAAAAATGCTGTTGAACTTGTGTTGTAGCGATGCGACTTGAGCAGTTTTCGTTGGAACCTGTTGGGTACTGCTCGATATGTGTCCCTTTGATTCGACACTTGGCAAAACCGGGTCCACGTCCTTTTCTTTACAGTGACTTCTTACGCGTCCTCCCTGGCCGCAATTCCAGCAACTAGTCGGTCCTTTCTTGCCCATGTACTCCTCTATGACTTTCCGTACAATGCTTTCCACGGAGTCGTAGGAACATTTGTTGACCGCCCGTACTCTCACTAGACCGAGAACTTTGTTTCGCTGCCTCAAATTCTAGGGCACGTGCTAAAGCATCCACCAAGCGCGTTGTTGGGTGGGCTAGAAGAAGCGCTTGCCTTGTCTTGCTGTCGCGTAAGCCGTCGGAGAATGCCTGTACTGCCAACCGCTCCATAATAGGGCGTAGCAGGGTACGCAAGGCGAACGAGGCGGGCTACATCGGCTTCAAACTCCTGCAGAGACTCATTTGACTTTTGAATGTGATTTTTTAACTGGGAATGATAGACATGTTCCAAATAAGCTTGGCCGTACCTCATTTCTAAATGTCGTACCAATTGCTGATAATCTCCCTGTTCCGATGGTGACAGTGTCTGCAGGATGTCAGTCGCATCGCCTCGCAGTGCGAGAGTCAAAGCGGTAGCCTTTTCAGATATTGTCCATCCGTTCGCTCTCGCAGTGGCCTCAAACTGGCAAAAATAATTGGCCCAAGCGATTTTTCCGTCAAACTGTGGAGGCTTTTAACAACTGACTTTGAGATATACTTATTTTCGACGAGTGTCGGGCCCTCCGACGATTCTTGACGTTTTGGTGAAGTCGCCTTCCCTATTTCTTCTTTCAAAATTTCGATTTTTCGGTTTACATCATCCTCAATATGTGTTATTTTGTCTTGTAGTTCCGTAGAATTCTCTATAATTTCTGTTATCTTTTCTTCTAAATTAATTATTTTATTATTAAAGCTGGCCTGTATGTCTTTAGAATTTTCTGCGATCTTATCTTCTAAAATATTAATTTTATCACTGATTTTCTCTTCTAAATTAACTTCCAAGTCAATTATTTTACTATTCAAATTGTTCCAGTTGTCTAATTTTTTGATAATTCTCTGTCATTTTATCATTCAAACTCTCTTCCAATTTTTGAGAATTTTCCGTTATTTTATCTTCTAATTTTTGTAGGCACAAGTCAAGGTCACCTTCCAACTCAAAGCAAAATGTGTCAGGATCCTCACCTTCCTCAATCAAAACCTCAAGCTTCGGGCGTCTGATTATATATGAGAGAAACAGACAATCCAGATTTGTCTCGAGAATTCTTATCCGTGTTCTACCAACTTCTATTCGTTTTCAAACGTCGCCGGGCGTATGAGTCATAGCCGTGTGGCTGGCCTAAGGCCGAGTTCACACGGGTCCGCAACAATATTATTTTGATTTTAGATCATGCCGAGTACGCAACAAATTTCTTATTATTGTATATTTAAAAAACGTGTTAGAAATTGTCACAATATGACGATGTAAGATTTAATTTATTAAATACTGTAAATACATTTGTTAATGTTTATTTCATAGTTTAATTAATTAAATATTTTATTATTAGTTTAAAAAGTAGTCTTTTTAAGCAGTTGTAAAGTTCTAAATTCAGAGACGTAGGTACATTTATTAAGTAAATAATTTGAACATGGAAGAAAAGCTTATATACCACAAAAATTTTAATAGTATAAATAAAAATAATACTGTAACAATAAATAATCATTTTGACATAAGTCATGTCAGGCGATGCGACAAATCAAAACCAGCCATATGACTGACCTGTCAGTGACGTCATTCTGGAATGGTCTATATATAAAAAGTTGGGTTATATGACAAAATATTTAAAAAATTCCAAGAGAAAAGTTGTTCAGAATACGATTTTACATCTATGTGTCAAATTTCATAAATATATAGGTACATCAAGAGAAAAGTTGTTCAGAATACGATTTTAGATCTATTTGTCAAATTTCATAAATATACAGGTACATACTTTCGAAAACTATATTTTTGTTTGAATATTTTAAAATTGTATTTCTTTATATAATCACGCCATGTATATAACAAAGGATTCTGACTTACCATCACAGATTTTCTTTGTTCCATATATGCACTTGCGGTATCATAGAATTTGACTAGCGGCTGAAGATAACTACTCAGTTGATCTTTGCCTAACTCTTCAAGCTTTTTTTCCACTTCCTCCAATTCAACTTTAATATCAGTTACTTTCTTTTGATGGTCCACTTCTCCGAAACTTCGTGACATCATCCCTTCTACACTGAGAGTTTCAACCCTGAGTAAACTTAATACCTAGATATCTTTCTGATTAATTCAGAGCATTTAAGATAAAAATGGACAGTTTTACCATGCCATAAGTTAGCCTGAATTGACTGGTTAGCTTACTCGGTAAGCCTATCATCATAGCTTTCAAACAAGATTCGGATGGTATAGACATTTTGCAAAGAAGAATGACAGTGCCTTTGTCATCTTTGCCTCTGCGACCAGCTCTTCCTGTAATAAGAAAACTATAATAAGTTCCTTAATAATATAAGTTAGATGATAAGAACTTTCTTTTCACATTAATAAGATGATAAGGAAGATAAATGTTCTTTTAATTTGTTTAAATTTATTCTTATATATTTTATGAAAAAGTATAAAAAGCGTCAAATAAAGGGACAAACGCTCTGTCCATCTTTTGACGTTGACAATAGGCATTTTCCCATTATTATTTTTCCCTTGTAATCGGGTCATTCAATTTCATTTTCAAATGTATTTCTTTGAATATATGTGTATTTACTAAATTATTTAGTAAAGAATATATCACAATAAAAATAAAACTATACAAAAATATTTTCCTCACTCTACTTATAATTTTTTTACAGTGAAATTCTAGACATAGAGTTTGTTCAGGCATCGTTCACCGCCAGGTCATATATTGTCGAACTCTCTCAATTATTTATTTTAATTTAATAACCAGATGAAAGAGATTGGTGACGGCATTTCACTGCATATTCTTTTTAGTAATTGTCATTGTCATTTGATTTGAGAGTCTAATTTTATTGACGAACATCGATCAATGTCAAAATTAAAAATCTATTGTTGCTATAAAACAATATTTCAATTTTTTTATTGCAAAAATGCCTCAAAGATTTAACCAAAAAGAACTAGAGCTCATTTACTGTCCTCTATTCACGCAGTTGTGCAGCTCTCTGAACTGTTCAAGAACGCGATACTCTCACTCCATTCAACTGAGTCATAAAGTTCAGAACTGTTCAGCGCCATATGAACCTTAGATATGAACGCACCAGGCTACCGCGCACAGCTCCTTTCAGAACCGTTCGTAAAGCTCTGGAACTTGAAATTCGCGAATGGAGGACAGCAATTGCTAAGCTTATAAATAATTTTACATGAGAAAGAGATGCTGGTAGAACACTCTTGGCCCGTGGACGCCGTATATGAAGTAAGTGCAATGCAAGTAAAATACAAACCGATAGCGTTTTTAAATAATATTGTGAATAGCTGATGCTTTAGAAATTGGAATTTCAACAGTCCAAAGGATTGGAATTAAAGGGATCATAACTGATGAAGAGTTGAAGAAAAAATGAGTAAATGCAAGGAAAAAACGGAACTCGCTCATATAATCTCATAATAATATAGAAACTAAAATTTAATTATTATTATTTAATAAAATTAAAATAATAGTACATACTTAAAATTTTCTAAACAATATGAACTGATCTCAGCCACACCCTAAAACTAATATTTGACAAATAACGATGACGTAACAGTGCACGATGCCTGAACAAACAGTAGCTAAGGTATTCTGTGATATATACAGCGCGAGTCTAAAAATGCAATCTACTACTTTTGAACAAAAATGACCGTAACAGACGTACATTTTCAGTATGTACATCATACATTCTTTCGCTGGACGGACTATAGGTTTTTAGTCAAATAAAATAAAAAATATATACCAGCCATTTGGATATATTCTGCAGGAAGAAGATGTCGATGTTCAATGCCGTCATGCTTCATAACTGAGTCAAATATTACTGTTCTAGCAGGCATATTGACGCCCATGGCAAAAGTCTCTGTAGCAAATAGTATCTAAAAGGAATATGTTAATCTGGAAAATATATACAAGATGTTACTTTTATATAGTAAAACTTTCAGTTACAATGTGTTTAAACCTGAGAGAATATACTCTAAAATGAATCGACTTGGAGCACCCTATATACATATACGTAACATACTAACTTTGATAAAGCCTTTTTGAAAAAGCATCTCTACAATTTCTTTAATTATAGGCAGGACACCACTGTGATGAATTCCAATGCCTCTGCTCAAAATATCTCTCATTTTTATAATCTGAGGAGTTTTTTGGTCAGATTCATTTAAAGATCTGAAGAATAAAAAATACTAAAGGTTGCATGATAACTCGGTTAGCAGAGTGACAACAGAAAAAAATCTCTGATAGTATCAGATATTATAGGTGTATGGTAACTCTGCTGGTTAAGAAAAAAATACCTAATGCATTTACTGAAGAACACGTGGATCTGATGCTTTTCTTTTTCTGTAGTCAAATCTAAACTAGAAAGAATTTTGGCATTTGTATCGCATTTTTGCCTTGAAAAAATGAATGCAACCACTGGAAGTAGATCACATTTTCTAAGGTGATCAACCAAAGCAATCCATAATGTTTTCTCCTGTTTGTTGTTTAAAAACTTTATATTTTTATCTTTCAAACACTCCAAAGCTGTATTAGCCTTTATATATCCCTCTTCTGACCATTTTTCAGCTTCAAGTATTAAAAATCTCTCATCTCTACTGCCGCCCCATCTACCAGTGTAAAGGAAATGTTGGAGAGGCACTGGTCTTTTTAATGTTGTAATTACATACACTTTCCTGTAAAGTAAATATTATGTTTAGGTTCAAATGTTTACAAGAAATTAATACCTTTGATGTGTACGTCCTAGCCAATCAGCAAATTCTACTGTATTTGGAACAGTTGCACTAAGAAGTACTACACATACATGAGTTGGTAACATAATTAAAACTTGTTCCCACACGTGGCCTCTATCTCTATCATTTATGTAGTGTACTTCATCAAAGATAACATATTCCAAGTCTCTTGTAATGTCACTGCCACAATACAACATAGTTCTGAGTATTTCAGTAGTCATAATTAGGCAAGAAGCTTTCTGATTTATTTGAAAATCACCAGTTATTAAACCAACATCATTAAACTCATCTCTAAAAATTCATTCATAATTAATATTCTACTAGTTCATGCAAAAAAAAACCTGAAATCCCTGTATTTTTGATTTGACAATGCTTTTATGGGTGAGGTATATATAGTTCGGGTCATATGTTTCTGAGACAAAGCGATAGCATATTCTGCCACAACAGTTTTACCAGCAGAAGTATGGGCTGCAACGAAAACATGATTGTGTTGCTCAAGTTGAAGAATGGCCAACTTTTGAAAAGGATCCAGCTCAAATGGAAACCTCTTAGCCATATCAGGAATTTTTTTATTAAAATCATTCACTGGTTTATTTGGATCCAACAAAACAGCCCATTCACTATTTTTAACTGTTGAATTGTGTGGATGGCTCAATGTTGACAAGTTAATTATTTGGGGCTCTTTTGGAACAATATCCTCTTCTTCAGGAAGGACATTGCTTTCAAGTTTATTTTCCACATTGGTTGATTCAATTTCCTGGCTTTTTAATTCTCCTAAAAAATGTTGTTCCTTATGAATAACATCTAGTAAATTCAATGTTTTAAGATTTCCATGAGTTGTATCAGTTTCTTCTAATAGCTTTTTATTATCTTGAATATCTAAACTATGCGAAAAACCAGGAGGTACAGTTAAGAACCCTACAAATTAACAGTTAATTTTAATTATTCACATATCTACAATGTAGTTACCAGATTTGTCCAAAATATGTTGCTCAGGCAAATTTAAAATAGGTTCTGGAAAACTTCCAGGCTGAAAAGGTACATATAGGGCATTGCCTTTAGTTGAATCTGTAGGTGGGGCTGGAGCTCTATCAAAGGACATAGAATTCTTAGCGGTTGCACCAACAGAGTTTAGAGCAACCTCACGGAAACCTATAATTCTACCACTGTCTAGATCTCTTTGAACCTATAATCCAAAAATATTATAAATATCCTTGCAATGAAACCTAACATTTTACTCTTAATGTGGTGGATACAGGAGATAATTCGTATTTAATGAGTTCCTCAGGAATAGAGTTACGTAGCCAAATTTGTTGGCTTCTTTCATATTCATGAATAGGTAAACTTTCGGGACACAGTAAGTATTTCTGTAACTCATCTTCTATAATAGGCAAAATAGGAGGGGGCTCGAAATCATCCATATTCCAGATAATAGCTCTGATAATAGATAACTTCCTCTGTAACTTCTAACCAGCTTCTAACTTTCTCAGATTATTTTTTTTTAAATGAGGTTAAAATCACGTTAAAATCATAGAGAAATATATTTTAATTACCACAAAACACATACACAAAACTTTATGGTTAAAATCATAGAATAACTCATGAATAACTAACTGAAATTTTTTAAAATTTAAGGTTAAAATGTAAAATCATGGCTGCGTTCAGATTATGTGTTATCTGTGGTATTAACACAGGTATTAAGGACGACCAGAGAATAGGTACATTAAGCTTGTTTCATATAGACGCGAATCGCGAATTGCGAAAAGCGATTCGCCAAAAAATATTCGCAAAATTTGGACCTATTTCATACAGTCGCGAATTTTAGGGACATTTCATTTTTGCTCCACTGAAAGTTACCAAAAAAAAATCATAAACTGAGATAACTTAATTTGTTTTATACATATTTATTCGTGTTTACGATCTTTATTTTATATTTTATAGCATACAATATGAGTTTAAATTTGTTTAATAATTATGAATATCGATTACGATTGTGGGATTGGAATAGAATAAGGTGTAAAATTGCCATTTACTTATTGTTAAAACGTAGAAAAGAACGGGTTTATAGCACAGGTTTATAGGTCATTTATGGGCCATTTGGGACATGTGAAATATTCAAATTTCGTAAGCAACAAGGTGCTTGTCGCAGTTTAATTCAAGAAATAAGGAAGAAAAATGAGAAAAAATTTAGGAATTTTCACAGATTGTCTGTATAGGAGTTTGATAACTTAGTTGAAGTTGAAAAATTGTCACCATTCACCATATATATCAAAAACATATTATGCACAGAATATACTAACGAAATGTGTATTTAGGAATACACTAACGAAATGTGAATGATATTATGTACGAGAACCATAGACTTAAAATAAAATATAGACTGAGCATCTCATTCATAAATAGCTGGAACATGCGGTCAGACCAAATACGTTTTAATTAAAACGTATTTGGGTCAGACACTAGAGAATTATGGCACTTTTCAAATACTGACTTTCGTTAATACTGCTGGGCCTTATTTAATTAGCGACGGTCAGTATTTCTGTATTTAAAGAAGAAATATGGCAACCCTTGTTATGACGTCTTTATTTTCTTTCGTTAATCCTTATCTTCTGATCTGTGGGTATGTGGGTTTTATTGTGTATTCTTACGTGTATTCTGTACTGTAATTCTTTAGGTTGGATTTTTTGGTTTATATTTACGATTTTCGATCAGAAAAATGGAAGAACTTTTAGAAGCTGCAATTCTAGGAGGTGCAAATGATGCTGAAATTGAATTTTTAATATTAGATAATGTCCTAATAAACAGAGACAATATAATGGAGAATGGTAATAATTTCACACTGGATGATTATGCTGATGAGGATGTAAAGAAACATTTTCGATTTGAAAGGCAAGACATTTTGCAATTAGCCAACTTTTTAGGTATACCAGACCCAGTACGAACCCAAAGAAGAGTAAAAGTAAATAGTACGTATGTTATGTATTGACAAAAATTGTGTAGAATATTTTTTATTATATTATAATTTTTTTGTACTTTACATATTTTAATATTTCTAGATGTCACTGCTCTTTGCATTTTGCTAAAAAGACTTGCATATCTTAATCGCTTGAGAGATATTTCACCAATGTTCAGTTTATCCCCACAATCAATATCTGAAGTTGTTCGAGCTACAACAGATATAATTCTGGCAAATAATGGAAGATTGTTAAATAATTTACAAGACCTACAATGGTTGGATAGAAATAAAATGACATATTACTCCCAGGTTAGTAGATCAGTTTTATATAATTAATTAAGATCCGTTTAATGTAACACATATACTTCCCAGTTGTTTATTTACTTTTATCTTTAGGCTGTTCATGCAAAAGGTGGTGCTATGCAAAACTGTTGGGGCTTTATTGACGGCACTGCAAGACAAATATGCCGTCCATCAGTGGAACAAGAAAATTATTATTCAGGGCACAAAAGATTCCATTGCCTTAAATACCAGTCTGTGCTGTGTCCAGATGGGATTATTGTAAGCCTAAAAGGTGCATTTCCAGGCCGAAGACACGATGCTGGAATATTTCGGGAATCAGGACTATATAATGAGCTAGAGCATGTAGCTAATTTCAGTCCTGATGAAAAATTTTCTTTATATGGAGACCAAGCCTATGGTTTAATGGATTTACTAATAACACCATACCAAGGCAGACCTACAACCGTATCAACAGCAGTTTAACCAGTCAATGAAAAGGTTGAGGGTATCTGTTGAATGGGGCTTCCAAAAAGTAGTAGGACAGTTCGCATTCATAGATTTTAGAAAAAACCAGAAGCTTCTCATGCAAGATGTCGAGTCAATGTATAAAACAACAGTGCTATTGACGAACTGTCATACATGTCTCTATGGAAGCCAGACGGCAACATATTTTAATATTGTACCACCAAACATAAATGTATATTTTGGAATTCAATAATAAACCTACTTTTCTATAACAATTTTTTATTTTTACAACTACATTTTACTTAACTAACATACCTATAACTAATTTAAATGAACTAAAAAAAAACTAAACACTAATAACTAAAAAAAAAGCGACTGAAAAAAATAAAATCTATGTAGAAAAAAACATTTTATTCCTTGTGGAGCAATTGGTCAATCAACTTTTGTTGTGATTGCATCAATTGTATTGACAATTTTCTTTCTGCAATGTCTAGGTCGCCACGATTTTTTTCAGCCTCTAACTTAGCCATCACCTCTTTGTGGTGTAGTTCCAACTCTTTTTCTCGTAACCGCATTTCTTCTCGTTTTAGAGAAAGTTTTTCCTGTTCAATTAAAATCTTTCTCTCCTCCAACTCGAGTTCTTTAATTTTAATATTATTTTCCCTCTCATTTTTCTCTTGTAGATATAGCAGGGCATTTTTTCTCAAGGGCTCTTTTTTTCTAGTTTGACCTATAAAAAATATTTAAGGATAACTAAAATATTATAATATAATTTACTTAAAAAATAACTGGCTCTAAAAATCATGATATGGGTATAAACATAGTAATAATTATAGGGAACTATAGGTAAAGCCTACCTAAGATTTTTTTTCTACTAGCAGGAGTTGGTTTACTTTCCTTGGAAGTGCTAGGGGTGGGAGGAACTGTAGGCTCAGTTATTTCTTCCACTATAATCTCTTCTTGAGGTGCCTCTTCGTGAACTAAAAAGAGTAATAATCAGTCTATCAGAACAACTAAAATTAGTTGATGAACTAATACTAAACAATAAAAAAGTAGGATTTTCATTTGTGGTAGTCTAAAAATTTGAATTATTAACCCCTAATACATAAAGACAATATAAACATAAGTTAATAACATTCTAATATTTCATTACTTTGTTTTCTATTTGCAAGATTAAACTTACTAAAATAGCAGTGCTCATCTACAGCCATTGGTGTTGGAACCTCATTAATAACTTCCTCTTCCACCAATCCTTCTTCTATCTCTCCAAATGTTTGGGCACAGGCTTCTCTTGCTTTCTTCCCCATTTCCATGATCATGTGATCCTTAGATGAGGACGATGATGTGGATCTCTTTTTTCTAAAATCATATTTATGTTCCTGTACAAGGGAACTTACCTCCTGGAGCAACATATTTTTTTCACAGGGGGGTTCCTCAATTCCCGATCTAAAAAAAACTTTGTTTACATTTGAATTAATGGTTTTGACTTACCTAATTTCGTCAACTTTAATTTTATTTAAGAACAATTCAATAAGGCGTTGTACGTGCTGTTTCAGCGTTTTTATTAAATAATTTTTGCCCGTTGTGATGGCCACATTCGATTGAATAATTTCCCATCCTTGTAGATTTATTATGGGGTTGACATTTAAAAACTCCCGCAATAATACTAGGTCGTCTTCGTAGGTGAATCGCAACCTAGTAGACTTATTACAGCTATTCATTATTAAAAAGGCAAAAGGCAAAAGGCAAAACGCAAAAGGCAAAAGCAAAGGCACAGCAAAAGGCAAAAAGTAACACACGTTCTGACACGACGCGACGCTCTACAGGTTATGATCTTAAGATCATAAACGAAAGAGCACCCACAGATCTGTATAAAAATTTGTTGCGCATGCGCCTAAAATAACGACATGAATAGTGACAAAATACTGCCTTTCACTATCTTGTCACAAATAAGGAAGGGTTTTATTTTATTAGTGACCGTCCTTATTTGTCGTTAAAACTGCGCATGCGTAACTGTCAACAATGTCAGAATAAGAATGTTTTTATTAGTGACTGCCACTATCGGCGCGTGCCATAATTCTCTACTGTCTTGTTATTGTTTTAGGTTATAACGAGTGCGACACGAGCGATAGATAGGTTGTCTCTGTCGTAACGGTCGTTCCCTGACGACTCTGCCGAGAAACACAACAAATAATTGTCTCTTCGTTCTCAAGGCATTCCGAACGTGCCTTAACTCTCCGTATCATAGCTGGGTAATTTTTTATTTTAATGAAGCTTATAATTAAATTAAAAATATATCTTATATTTAAACTTTTTATATTTTATTAAGATTTAGGGACAGGTTTTTAAATAAAAGTTTAGAAAAACAATTCTAGGAGTCCAAAAAAGGATAAAATAATAAAATACACGTTATAGAAGAAATTTTTATAATCGAAATTAGGTAATTTTGAAATTAATAATAAATTATTAATTTTAGTCAAACATTTACAACCCCTAATATTAATCAATAAAATAGGATCTATTCCACAGATATAATAGAATCGGTGACAGGGAGAGAAAAAAAAATATGATTGTTGTAATTTTTTCTGGCTATGGATGTCTTATTATGTAAATTAGAGAAAACATAATATCTGTTCCATTAAAGCAAGGAAGGTGATAGGAAAATATGAAGTGGATAAAATAAAACTACATATATTTAACCTGGTCCTGGTACTGTTCCATTATACCTGGTGAGTGGCTCATCCCCTATAATTTTTATATTTTCAAATAAAAAACAAGATTTAGTATGTTAGTATATGAAATAAATTAGGATTGATTGACGCATTCATTGTTTTGGTCACTCTGTTTCAACTTGAAATGACTATAACTTTAATTTTAAACGGCACCCCTGGTATATTTCTACCATTCGATAGGAAGTTACGACTCTGAATAGAATGACATACCATATGTCAACTTTGACATTTTCGCATATGGTTTAACTAGAAAATAAGGATAGAGAATGAGCGTCAACATGTGCAGAAGGTCTAATCAAGTTGGGCGCCATATTCCAGGTCTTCCTGTCATTTTGTATATAGGTGGTAATCTATAAGTAATCAAAAATCAATTTGCTGTTTCTTAACCATACGGGAGGGTACCTTAAAAGTAAATAATGTGTAACTGAACGAAGTACTTGAA